GATGTTATGTCCTTAAAAGCATCAAATAAAACAGAAAACGCACACCAAGTTCTAGTAGAGGTTCAAATGCAAGAAACAGGAAGATAAAAGTGAAAAAAAAAAAAGCATAGCGCACTCAGATGGCCGATGTCCAAAAGATTTTCCATTTTTAAATAACGTTTCGGCAAAAATAACTATCTGACTATCTGAAAATATCTGCCAAAAACTTTTTTTTTTTGCCGAAACATTATTTAAAAGTAAAAAAGCTTTTGGACATCAGCCATCTGAGTGTGCTATGTGTTTTTTCACTTTTAACCTTCTCAAAAACATCCCTGGAGTTGTGTTTTGTCTCATTTCATTTTGTTTCACACTGGGTTCTTGTTCTCTGTCAAACGCAAAACACTTTATTATTAGTCTGTCTGCATCTCCAAAGCTCAAAACACGCTGTTCCACCTTGTGATGTCACGTGGTAATACAGGAAGTGCTCCACTGCTTTTTTTAAATCTCCGTACACCTTCACTAGAATCATTTGGATAATTTCCGCTCTGGAATTGCCAATCTCTACTGAACAAAAGCTAAAAAGTACAGTAGCTGTTAATTTAAAAAAGTACCACTTCAATGACATCACAAGGTAGAACAAAATTTGAGCTTTGGAGATGTAAACAGACTAATAATAAAAGAATTACTCAAACATGTGAAGGAAACAAAACGCAATTCCAGGTCTCTTTTTGAGGAGGTTCTTAAACAACATGTCTCAAAGCTCACAAGAGTCCATTTTGCGTAATATAGAACCTTTAAAGAAGTACATTTGACCTAATCCCAGGATCCTGTTATATGTATTTATTTTTTGCTCGATTCGTTGACCTGGTTTGTGGTTCACATCTATAATTACTGTGTCAATCCACATGGCGTAAAGTTCAACAGCGCAGCCATCTTGTATAGTTATCATCATTATAAGCCTTCTCAGAGCTGTTTTCTGAGTGATTCATGCGTGTTTGAGTAATCCGGTATTGTGATGGGTTTGAGAATGGAGTGCTCAGAAAACCCCAGCCCACAGCACTCTTCTTACTTCTTACTTACTTCCAATTCTTCGAAAAATTCAAGCTCTAGGTCATGCGCTTCAAAAATATTGCCAAGACTTATTTCCGAAAATGAAAATCCTCTTCTTGTTACTGTGAAATGCCATGAGGAAGAGGCAGAGCGAACATAAATCACTTCTGCAGTTTTGAGCAGGAAGTCAATGGAGCTTTCTCTTATTAAAGCCATAGTATGTAACTCTTTTGTGCAAAAATCTGTGGTGGAAAGTAAGTACAAACTTTAGGTAACTGCATTCTACAGTGGATATGTTTTACTTTTACTTCACTACATTTGAGAGTATGTATCTGTACTTTCTATTCCACTACATTTTTGATCTGGACTGAGTAAGTAACAAGACCTGCTGAAATGGCTGAGACGTATTTTTAGCACATTTAATTTGAGTCAGCGTCCCAACTTTGAGCAAACCAAACACATAAAAACACAAAAAACGGCTGGAAAAATTAAGAAATCAATTGAGTCTCTTAAAATCAGCTGAATTCTTTTTCAAAATCACTACATTTCAGCTTTTACTTTTACTCTTTAAGTCCATTTTTAAACAGGTACTCTAATACTCTGACTTAAGTTGATTTTTTCATGTGATACTTTCACGTGAGTAACCTTTTTCCCCAAAAAAATCGAGTACTTAATCCACCACTGACAAGAATTCACAAAAATAAAATTATTTGACGATTGGAGATGAGAAGAGCAAATCACTATAACGCGATTAAAAGCTCTGAAAAGTTGATACTGGAGAACAGACGTCCTTTAAGAAAAACACACTTATTCCACTGGTAGATATTTTTACTTGTCAAGTTGAATCTACTCAAATCAAGTAAAAAGTTTGTAATTTAAGTCATTTTAACTTACCTAGATATTGTTTTTTGCAGTGTTCCATAGCTCTAGTCATGTAGTTTCAAGTGTGAATTTTCAAAGTTAATGGAAGCAATGTTTATGTTTGTGTCTTCAACAGTACAAAAAAACAATCAAAAACATTTTAACATATGCTATGCTGAAAATGTACGCTTACGGCTAAGGGTCTGATCAGCATTTCATCAGAGCTTTTAGCAGGTAATGCAGTGTGTTAATGCTTATGTGCCTTCACTCTAACTTTGAAGCATATTAAATGACAATATGCTTATTTCCAGCGTAAAGGTACAATGGTGCAGAACATTCCAGCTGATTTTAACTCATGTTGTTCCTGACCTGAGCAGCTTTTGCAGGTTTCTCCTCTCTCCTCTCCTCTGCTGACGTTAAAGGGCCTGTACCGGATTTGATTCTTCCAGTTAAGATAAATACCTTTTATATTAAGGAGTGTTTTGTAAATGCAGATAATTGAGAAGGAAAGTAGACGGAAAGATTTCACCTACACATTTTAAAGAGCATTTTGTTAGGTGATACCATAGACCAAGGGTGTCAAACATACAGCCCGGGGGCCAGATCCGGCCCTCCAGGATCTTTAATCTGGCCCTCGGCTGATTTTCTACTAAAATATTTAATTATATTTTAAAACCTGAAGACAGAATTTGAAATTTTTCGCACGCCAATTACAGACAAACCAGTGATGTGCCCGCAGAAATGCACCTAGAAATAACAGATTTACAGTTACCACCTACCTTTGTGAGCAGGTTTTCTCAGTAATGAACATTAATAAAACAAAACTGTGCTCAAAGCTGAACACAACACACAAGCACTTGAATGACATTCTGAAGACAGCAGCTACTGAGGACATGGTTGACATCCCTGCCATAGACTGTAGAAGGCATCATCCATAGCGTTTGGTTGCAATCAAATGAAGCTCATCGAGGCCTGCAGTCTCGCAGACCTCGGGGAAAACAGGCATTGGATTGGTCTGTTATTAATGTCTATATGTTAATTTAGAGAAGAAAAATAGCAAAATAGAAATCCCAGGATCATGTAGAGAGGGTTGGTATAAACATTTAAACATTTTAAGACCAAAATGGTTACAGAGAGAATGGGACAATAGGTTCTTTCGAAAGAAGTCAAGTGCAACTAAAGCTTGAAGGAACCAAGGTCACGTCCTATTTGGAATGTGGGGGCTAGTGTACAGTCTACGGGTAATAGACTCTTATTATCCTTACAGACTAGGGACCAGAAACCAAACCAGGACGACGTTTGGAAACATGCGACAACTTCCGGCGAGCTCTGTTCGCGGTAGCAAATCTGACAAAATCTTGGAAAAATGAGAAAAAATGGCCCGGTTTTCTTTATCTCCACGTCACTGTAGAGTTCTGTTATGTTCAGCTAATCAACTATTCCAACCATACCTCAGTTTTCATCGTTTCCCCACTGAAATTATGGAAAATGCGACTATATATGCAGTCTTCATTTTACCGCTGATCACATTTACTTCAGCGGGTTTTATCACAGTCAGTTGTCGAATCCAGTGTCGGGAACTACACCGGACCTGAAGTTGTCATCGCATGTTTCCAAACGTCTTCCTGGTTTGTGACGTAAGTGTGAATAGAGCCTACACCCATAGAGTTCGCAAGTTCGCAAGTTCGGGTTCCTTCTGATTCTGGTTCCCATTGACTTATATTTGAATATTGTGGCTCCACTCTGTAACTACTGCTGTGAGCCTCATCATTTTGGTCTTAAAATGTTCATATTAACTCACTCTAGCTGATCTTGGGAGTTTTTATTTTACTATTTCGTCCATTTTAAAAAATCCTGTTCATAATATAGAACCTGGCTCCAAATTCGCCCATGTAACCACTAGAATAATGAGCTTCAGTTGAGTGAAACTGAACGCTGTGGGAGACTTCACACTCACTTAGTCCAATTCTTTACACAGTCTATGGCAGGGGTCTCCAACCTGTAGTTCGGGAGCCACCAGTAGCTCTCCACTTCCTTGCAAATAGCTCACCAAAGAATTTCTGAATCATATGTTTTGTGCTGAATAACAAAAATTTGATGAGAAGAACGACTTTTAAAATTGTAAATGTATGATGTTCATGCTTAACTTTACTTTCTGCACTAGTAAATGGATAATGTATGTTTTATAGGCCTCTAACTGTTCTTATCTAAGGCCGTGGCTCTTATTAGTACTCAGTTTCTTGCAACCACTAAAGGCCTGTTTACACAATGGTTGTGAGTAAAACCGACAAATTTTATTGGAAATGCCTTTCGTTTAGACAGTGATGGCATTTTTGTGGCTTAAAAACACAAAACTCTAAAACCACCCTCCAGAGTGGAAAAGTTGAATATGCTCCGCAGTAGTGTTTCCGTCTACACTGCCCAAGACGCAAAACTCTGGTCAGATCTGCTCACATCGTGTAATCGTTTACGTCACATACATCACCACCTAGCGTCACCACCTAGGTGCCTGGCATGCATACCCAGTCGAATTCCACACAATTTTGCGTCATCGTATACATGCAGATTTCCTCCCGAAAACTCTCGTCTGAACACGGAATAAAAAATGAAGACGCAATGCCACTTTTGCATCTTCTGTTCAGACCGTCATCATATAGACGTAGCCTAAAATGAGTAGCTCCCTGGCTTTTTCGTTTTGTAAAGGTCGTTCACCAGAGGAAAAAAAAAAAAGGTTGGACACCCCTGGTCTCCTAATACCTAATGGAGAAGCTTCTGATAGGGTTGCTTTCGTCCAATCAGGAATAGAAGTCACTAAGAATCATGTTCTGCCCTCTTGCTTAGCATTACACAAGACACTAGATTCTCCCTCATGTTGCATTTTTAAGTATAAGAATACAACTCTAAGAGGGTGAAGTAAAAGCTAAATAAGATTATCTGAGACAGTTCTGTGTCATGGTGCACTGTGGTGTCCTCACGCAGGGTTTTGAATCAGGTACAGACCCTTTAAGTTTCCAAACTAACCCAAACTAACCCTTCAACTCTCCTCTTGTGCGTCTCTTGTTGTCTTTTGTCCCTCTGTCCTGTCCTGTCCTGTCCTCTCCGACCTCCAGGAAGTGGCCAAGCGGGAGGACTTGCATGCCCAGCTAAGTCTGATCCAGCTGCCTGTAGAACCAGGGGTATGTACTGCACTGCAAGCTTCAGGCCTGCTTCCTTTTCCACCCACCCTAATACGTCCACCCTTTGACTTCTTGACCTCGTTCTTGACCCCTAACCTTCACTCTGAAAGTATTTTGCATATTCTTGCGTTGTGTGATTTGCTATTCAAAATGGTGCTGATGTTTTGCATATTCAGCGTTTTTATTCAAAGTGGTCTGACAGAATAAGCACATTTTCAAAGTTTCTGTTCAAAGCAGCAGAGAAGTTAAAGTGGGACTAAAGGGGAGAGACGGGGGGGAGGAGGGGCGGGGTCTGGTGGTATGAGGAGCACTGTGATTGGTCTAACATGTATCCACACTTCTAACTCCACCCCTGCAGCCAGGGTTTGTAATCAGGACAGGTCAGGTCATGTGTGATGTCACGTGGTACACAGTAGGACTTTATTATTATTATTATTTTTTTTTTTTATGTTTTAGACCACAACACTTCAAATGATTGATTAGTGTTACAGTTAAAAGTAATGGAAAGCAAAGTTTTGAAAGTTTGAATACAAAACAATTATCATTTGAGTTGTAACTAGTGATGCTGATGGTATAAATAGTGGTAAGTTGTGTTCGATTGTATGAAAAACAAAACTTGAAGTGCCACAAAACTGATATCTGAGGAACACCAACTACTGTATTACAGTATCTGGGTTCACATGTAAATGTAGAACAGTACAATTTCCAAACAAAGAAACACACAATTCACAAACCTACCAGACAACCTGTCAAATTACTGTCTGCATGTTGCACGGACACGATTTTTGTTCTGCATGGTTTTTGCATTTGTGATAATAATAAAATGTAAAGTGTAAATAGTGGTCTATTTTGTTGCACTTTGTGGAAAAACTGAATTTGAAGAAGCACAAAACTAATCCCTGAGGAACACCTACTGCATTTTGGCACTCAGTACAGTACATTTCCAAAAGAAGAAACACAGCAAACAGTCCTGCTTCCTGCATGTCGCATGTACACGATTTGTGCTAACATTAAAATATGACTGAAATAATGTAATAATTATATAATAATAATGAAATCATTATTTGAAAATATATATTTATGTATATATACTATAAAATGAAATGCATGACTACTGCATCTGTTCTTTCTTTGCTCCTTTTTTGTTTTGTTTCTGGGGGCATGGTATTAAGTGAACTTTTGTAAAATTTTGGCACAAATGTTTTTGCCACAACACACTCACCTAAACCCAGTTATTAACTTATTCACATTTTAGGATAATAGTAAAACTCTTAAGATTGAAGGTTGTGCACATGGTTTGAAAATGTAAAACACTTTGAGCTTCTATATTCTATAGTAGAATTTGCTGTTGAAGTGTTGCAGATGTTTTGGCCTGGTTTATGGTTCATATGTCTGTAATTACTAGGCCTGATCAGTCAAAGGGACTTCAAACCGTAAGATTAATATGACAAGGTTGTGGAGCCAGTCCTAAAGAAATAATGAGGTGGTTCAACATTTGTGAATCATAAATTCATATTTCTCTCAAAAACTGCATATCTTCCATAGCGTTATCTAGGGACCCACCTTCTATCTGAAGTTATAACATACAATTTTAGAACACAACACAACCTACTGGGTAATACTTATGAACTCTATTCTCAGTTTACCACAACTTATAAAACTTTGAAAAATAAAACTCCACATTTCCAAGTCTGTTTTATCTGTCTGCTGCATCAGAGTTAGAGGGGTTCATTTGGCTTATGGGGAGTCCGAGGATCAGGCTGATAAATCCTGTGGACTATTATGGGATGTTAGCTAATAAAGACCTCTGGGAGATCACTACTGTTTGCATGGATTGGGCTCGTATAATGCGAGGCCACTATCTGTGGTGATATGAGCATTTTGCAGTTGAGTGCTGTCTTAAAATCTTCCAGTGGGATCCAGCAGTGAGCCGGGATTTAGAGATTGGCTGGATTTTGTAAACACACAGGGGATACGGAAAAGGTGGATGGAAAGTGGAGTCTGGATACCTCGATATGGTTGACTTTACTTAAAAGGACCCATATGACGCTATTTTTTGATCTATTATAATGTTGTTTCTTCCTCACACAGACCTGGAGTTGTGTTTTGTTTCATTCACACATGTTTAACACACAAACCCTGTATATTTAGTTCTTCTTCCAAACACAAAACACTCTGTTCCACCTTGTGAAGTCATGTGGTAATACAGGAAGTGCTCCATTGTGTTTTCAAACTCCATACACCTTCACTGAAATCATTTGGATCATTTCAGCTTCGGAATTGCCAGTTATTACTGAATGAAAGGTAAAATATGTGTAAATGAAACAAAACACAACTCCAGGTATGTTTTTGAGGAGGTAACAATATTCTAACATGGCTCAAAGCTCACACGAATCCACTTTTTTGTAATATAAGACCTTTAATAATAAAATGGGAATGCTTGGACCATGGAATATGACTAAAATTTATATGAACAGCAAAGATCGTATGCCTATAATAAAAAAAAAAAAAAAGTGTTCAGAATACAGAAGTCTGATTGGATCATTTATCAGTTTTAAAGTTTCTATATTACCCAAGTGGATTCTTGTGAGCTTTAAGACATGTTGTGAGGATAAACAATATTAGTACACCTGGGCACTAGCTACCATCAGAAAACTCCATTTGAAAAACCAGACTATCAGAACCCCCCTGCTCCAAAAACAGCAGTTCTGTTTAGGAGGCTTGTTTACACTCTGCCACCCCAATTTGGAGGTGGCGTTTGGGGCAGGAGATGAGCCAGACCGCGTCTGCTGATAGCCACAATAATATGGAGGCACCACGGCTCCAGGCAAGCCCAATTACACCCACTGAAATAAGGATACATGGGAGGCCGAGGTTAGTAAAAATGGAAAGCTACGGCAAGGGAGTGAGCCAAGGTAGCTCCAAAATTGGCTGCAACCAAGTGTTCATTTGCTTAATAATATCATATATTTGATATACATAATGGAAAGTACACTTTGAGTTGGCGCAATTAACAAATTGTAAAGGTTGCAGTTATTTATGAGATATGCTGTTCTCTGCAAAGAACTAAATATTCTGTCTTTTTCTGCTTTACAACAAAAAAAGTCTTCTCTCATATGTTCATGCGCCAATCTAAAAAAAAAATATTATATGATTTGGTTAGGTCAAGATGAACTCGTAGTGGCTCAGATAGAGTGGTCTTTCTATAAATAATCACTGGTGCTATAGTGATTAACAACTTAAAGCAAAATGTTACATGTTTTGAATAGTGAAATGTCATCAAAATGCTACCAAAAGAGATAGCATTTTGCACAGATCTAACATTTTTCTTTCACTCACCACCACCTCTACATTATGTACCTTGTCCATAAAATTCTAAAACAAGTATTTTGTTACATTTTTTCGTTAAATAAAACCATAAAACAATCATAGCCAACCACAGACTGTATAAAAAAGTGGATTAAGACAATGTGGCGTCATCCACAGCGTTTGGCTCCAGCTAAATGAAACTCATGGAGGCTAGCAATTACAGGTGCAAATTTGGAACCAAGTTCATATATATTTCAGTCAGGAGTGAGGTTGTTGAAGGTAATGCCCCTTCCTGCACTTACCACTGGTTTAGCAGAGAGCTGATGCTTAGCAACACTGTCAATCAAACCTGTTGCTAAGACTAGAAACCTTTGGGAAAGAAGGCAGCTGATTTGTCCATTGTTGTAATATCTTGATTTACAGACAAAACAGCTAAATAAAAACACCAGGATCAGGATTAATACGAACATTTTAAGATCAGAATAACAAGCCTGACAGTTATGAAGAGAGCTGCAATGGTTTTTCAATACAAAGTGAACTGGAGTTGATGGACCTGAAAAACTGGAGGGCTAGCACGAGACCATCCGTTTATATATAATATGGTCTACAGTAAAAATGCAAGCTAAGGGAAAAAGGTCCTTTGATATGTGACAGTTGTGATGTCCCTGTGAGTGACACAGTGATTACAATCGGTGCTGAATTGGCTCTTTGATGTGACACTTTCATTATATTTAAAAGAATCACTGTGATGCTTTGAATTTCTTTACATTTGTGTCAATTTGATTTCTTTGTACTTTGGTTCTTTGATGTTATTCTTTTAAGTTTCACACCAAATGTTTCTAAATCGAACTTCAAAGTCCCGTGAACACCTGCGCTGTCTAATGTGCACCTTTGGAACAAGCTCTGGAATTCAAAATAGAAAATCAAATATATAGAAGGCTAGATCAAAGCAAGATTTATATATAAAATAAATAAATAAAAATCACTTTAATTTGATTTGAGATGTTTGAGGTTATTTATTCTTTTGCACTTAAAGGTGCACTTTGAAACTTTTTGGTTGGGGGTGCGTCTCCTGTTTGTTTCTATGGATATGTCATTGACGTGCTTGAAGTTGGCCCATCAAACGCAAACCTACACAAAAATGATGTCAGTCGTCCATGCTGCAAAAAAATTTGTTTGTGCTGCTTTAGTTTTGAAATATTTTTGAGATATATTAATGATTCTTTTATGGTTACACCCTTATCATCAGAAGGCTCCCTAGTCAGAAAGCCCACTAGTCAGAAGGCCCACTAGTCAGAAGGTCCACTAGTCAGAAGGTCATTCCCTCTTCTATTGGTTTGTCAGCAACATTTCTCTTGAACAATTGAATGTATATTTGATGAAAGCAACAGGGAATAATCCCTGGATATCAGGGAAGAATTAGTAAACTTTTGGATGTTTACCAATTAAAAATGGCTGCAACATCAACATTTTTAGAGATATTGACAGGAAAACGCATAATCATACAACAGCATTAGCTAAAACCAGCATTACTTAATTTGTTGGTTTACAAACCCACCAATGCTATATTAAAAGAAAAAGATTTCATATAAATTTCAATAAAATTGAAATGAAGGTTGTAGAGCTCGAATTACTGAACATTTTGCAAGTTATTGCCTGAAAATCAGACAATTATTAACCCTGTTACACTTAAGACAGACATTTCCACCCAAATCATTATTTCCTCAAACATTTTTGCTGTATTTTAAGGGTTTAATATATTTATTACTTTTAATATTTACTTTTTAAAATATTTAAAACTTGAAATACAATTTAATTTGTAACAATTTGTAACACTACCTGAACATGGATTTTCTGACTAGAGGCTCTTCTGATGATAAGGCTGACCCCTTCTTTTATAGGTCAAATTAGGGTCAGCCAGCCCAGGAAGCTTAAAAATGCTCTTAAATTGCCCAAAATGGTGTTGATTAATTGTGCTTTGTTTGTGCTGCCGCAAAACAGGCAGAAAATTTTACGAAACAGCACAAACTAAATACAATGTTTCGTATAATTTTCTGCCTGTTTTGAGACTATTTAACATTTTGAGGGGCTGGATGACGTCACAGGCCGAAAAAAACCAAAAACAAAGAAAAACAAAAAAACAAAACAACCGCTAATATCTTAAGAACCATAATCACACAAACAAAACTTTAGCAGCATAAAACAGCACAAAGGAAGCACAAACGATTGACACCATTTTGGGCCATTTTTGAGCAATTTTAAGCTTCCTGGGGGCTGGCTGACCGTTAACCCCTTAACGCCGACCTTCACAAATGTGCAACAAACCATTTGGATCAAGATATAAGCCGAAACAGCAGCTGCATTCCCTTAATGCTGGCCAGTGCTTATGCATTACCTTCCTAGGAACCTTTGGCAAGCACTTGTAAATTTACTCGTAAATTTACAACATACCCAAGTTTCTATTTATGTTTTTTTTTTCTATAGTCAAATTAATAATCTCAACTTAACTGACCATCTACTTAAAAACAAAAACACACATAAAACATTTTAAATATACATCTATATAAATTCAGGCGTTAAGGGCGTTAAGAATCTCCAAAACTAAAGCAGCACAAACAAATAAAACAGTATAAATGAAGCACAGACAATAGACAGAGTTTTTTGTATAACTGTACAACTTCATAGAGGTATGTCATTGCTCTGCCTGGAATGTTCAGTGTTTGTTGTGACTTCTCATTGTCCATCCCAGAGACAGAGAAAAACAATAATTTGATCTAAGATCTAGTGCCGCTGCTCACTTTGTTCAAGTGCAGGTGTATCCAGTGAGCATCCCATCTACCCCAGGCACGCACGAAAGCAGAATACATCCAAACTGACAATTCACTGAGGTGTATATGGTCAAATCAGGGCCGGAGAATACCACTGCTGAAGAGCCCATATTACGCGACTTTCTGATCATGTTATAGCATACTATAATGTTGTTTCCTCATCATAAATGTCAGATCCCATAGTCTTCCTATCAATAATCACTGTTGCCGTAGTAATTCATTTGAAGTCTGTTGTCTAAAGAGTGTTTTTATTACCAACATCGGAATCTGCACAGAGTATCAAGTCTGACCAACTGCTATTGAAAGTTTATGAAAATTGCAGACCTTTTGTTGTGTAAATTCATTTTGGTGTGTGTAACCAATTTGAAGCTTTTAATCTCTTTTACATAAATGATTGTGTTTGAATACATGTTAACTGTTGCATGCTTTTGTGTGCTGTACAGTGTGATCTTTGCACAAATGTGTCAGCGAGTGTGACTTCGGACAAGATATGGGTCCCTGGTTTGGTAGTTGTTTCTGTTGCATTTGTAGTTCCTATTTAACTGTTTTGTTTTTCCTGGTACGTTAGCCAAGTGCGTGTGCTTTGAGGGTATTAGCTAACGGTTTATGCTTGTGTGTGCCAAAGGGTGATGGGTCCAAACCTGCTTCTGAGATCGATTCAGTGGCTCGCAGCATGGAGGACGTGAACGGCAGCAAGAAGGACCTGTCCGCATCTGCAGGTGAGACAGTTTAATATATGCACGGATACATAAAACAGAACAGGAACATCATTTATTGTGGATTGATTCATTTGGAGAGGGTACATTTATGAAAAAAAGTGCCATTATCCATTATGACTTTTTTGACTGTATGCCACAAGATTAATGTAATATGGCAAGACTGTGCACCCATTCCCTAACAAATAACGACAAGGTTCAACATTTCTGATTGGCTTGTAGTCACAGCAAAAAGGTTTAATTTTCGGGTCTTTCGGGCCTTCTAGCGTTTCTATGTTCTGCCTGTGTCTGAGTGGGATTTCTCTGGGCATTCCCAACCCAAAACACAATCATCCATCCATAAATTTTCTAAGCAGGGCCTTCCAGACTTCCCTCAGCCCAGACACTTCCTCGAGCTCCTCCAGTGGAACCCCAAAGGCATTCCCAGGCCAGCCAAGAGGGCTCCTTCAAGGAGTGGTCCCCAACCACCAAGCCAGGGACCGATACCGGCATTAACATTAATATTAAACCCACAAACTGCAAAATGAGTAAAAAACAGACGTCTTTGGAAACGTTTATTATTATATTTACAAAATGCCACAGTTTTTGTGTTGGTCGTATCATTTTATTTTGTCGTATTTATTTGCCACACCTTAAAGCCGGTCTGTGAAAATATTGTATAACATTAAACTGGTCTGTGGTGCAAAAAAGGTTGGGGTGCTCTAGGGTGTTTGGGTCCCTCAACTGCTCCTGTCCACTTGGAGGAGCAGCAGCTCTACTCCGAGCTCCTCCCGTGTCACTGAGCTCCTCACCTTGTCACTAAGGGAACTCCCAACCATTTTGTGGAGGAAACTCGTTTGGACCACTTGCATCTGCGATCTTTCAGTCATTACCCAAAGCTCATGACAACAAGTGAGGGTAGGAACGTAGATTGGGTGGTAAATCGAGAATTTTGGAAGAGCCTTATACCAAAACATGCACCATACTTCAAACCATCCAGCTAAGGTATTCCTGACCAACACTAGCAACAAGATCTGGAGATGAGTCCTTGGACACTGCTCTTTGGTTCACTGCTTCTGACAGGTTTAACCCAGCAGCATTGAAGGGTGGGTCAAATACAAATCCCCTATAGGGACAATTACGTGTACCTTAAACTTAAAATAAGTTTAGGTATTTCTTTCAAAAACAGTAAATCTCCCTTAGAGTTGGTTGAAAAAGTTACAGAGTTAAACCGTCCACCACCCTTCGTCTGAAATGATGACATCCTCCAATTCAAGACCATGGACACAACCAGTTTGGCATTAAAAAGTTTATGTTAAGTTATGCCATTTGCTAATACCTCAGCCAAATATTCTTACATTTTTATTTAAAGTATAACAAACTTGAATTGTCTACGCATGACTAGGTTTTGTTCAAATTCCCTTTGGCCCTCGATAGACAATACAACACATTAGAATCCTCAAATTGCTTGTATTGCAAATCCTCATCAGCTTTTGCATATTGACATTAGACTATTGAGGAGTTGAACCTAAGACTGTGATTAGCTCAAATCCGCAGCAGTTGTCTCACCTCATTTACAGTTTAAACACGGGTTATCCCTTAAGCCCCGCTCCATCCGCTCAGATTACACTTTCTCTGAGCCTCTTCAAAAATGAATGTTAAATTTAAACGAGATTTTGGAGTGTTCAAACATGCACCACCTGCTCGCCGTCTTCCGCTACAGACTCATTCATAATTTCACTAACGTCGCTTCTTATTAGCCAAAACTAGAGCGGATCTGAAAGCGCGGTGGAGATGCAGGCAGGAGACGATGCTAAATGCAGAGAGATTTGAACTTTTGTTTTAGTCTGTAGTAAGTTTTTCAAAGGCTGGTGATGTGATATTGATCTGATACAAATAACAACATTGCAGCTTGTGAATAAAGTCAAAGAAGAATATGTTTCTACAAAAAAATTATCAATAAATAACTCAATCAATCAGTACTTTTAACAAAAATAGTTCTAAATGAAAGTAAATACAGCAAATAGAGCTGTTGAACTGGGCAAAACCTGGAGGACAAAAGGGGTGAGTGAAGTCGAGGTATGAGGAACACTGTGATTGGTCTAACAGGTATCCAAACGTCAAACTCTTCAGTCTTCTGTGATGTTACATAGTACTTGTAAATGCAGTATCCACTGGATTCAACACCCACTCAGTTTTTTGTCAAAGCTGCAAATGTACCTAGTTTGTATGGAATCTGAATCTGCCTTTGTCATGGAAGCACATGGTCATTTTCCCAGAGAGGCCGTCCACCAGGAGCTCAAGAGGTCTCCACAGCTCCATTTACTCATTAACTTGTGAATGTTGTAAAAAGACACGAAAGAGAGAGATATCCACACAAATCCCACATGAATGAGTACGTGTGAAGTGTCCATCTATGTTACTCTGTCCATTGGTATCGGGTTTAGTCCAACCGGGGAATGAAGCACCTTTGTTTCTGTTGTGCAACCGGAACTTTGCCGGGCACTTGGCACAGGCTACTTTGGGTTGCTCAGTGATGAAAATATGGGAACATAACAAATAATTTAGATACAGTGTGAAGTGAATTAGTAAAATAATGCATTTTTCCTTGCAATGGTTTCATACATGGCATCTTTAGGAAAATGGTCGCACCAGCCCACGTGCTTGCATGGTGAGAGCAGGTTCAGAGTCGACTTCAAAAATTCATAATTATGGCTGTAAAACTCATAATTATGACTTTCTGTGAGGCTTTAATTTTTTTATTTACTGGCAGAAATGGGCTTCCATAAGTTTGCACTAAAGTTGCCAAAAAAACTATAGGGATTGTAGATAATGCCATTAAAACACCATATGCGCAGTTAGTGGCGAAAAAGACGTAGTGTTTGGTTCCACTTTATTGTCACCATAGAGAAACTTGTCCTATGTATTTGACCGATTCTTCATTGCCACTGGGGACTCATTTCCAGATCTTGAGCATGTCTTGGTCAGGACTACATTAGCTGGAGGATTCGACCTATTGTGTACGCTTTGGTTTTGATGGGGAAACCATAGAAAACCCCCCCAGACAAAAGGGAGAGCATGCAAACTCTGTGAGGCGAAAGTACCAACCTGTATCAAAATATTTCTTTACATTTTGGTTGTGATTCGCCCAGAGGTATCAAAGCTGGAACAAAAGGTACCACAGTCACATCTGAACCTGCATTGCCAGAGCCTTAACCTTCAGATACTGAACACATCCAAGTTTGTCTCATTCTCAGTATATGGACAGAACAAGCTCAAAACCTTCAGAATTCCCTCCATGAGCTGCAGAGGCTGCACTAGCACTGACTCACATTTGGCTGTAGGCGCTGGGGTTTAGGTCGTGACCCTTCAGATCAGAGAGAGGCACTTTAGCTTTAAACCAACTGGATTTCAGCATTGGAACTGGCAACGCAAATGAAAGACTCATGTGAGGCTCATTCTGCTTTCTGACTGGATAATCCTCTCGAACCAAAACACCAAATTATAACATCAACAACTTGTCCATCATGTCCAATGTTTTTGTCATTAAGAAAACATCAGCATTACAATAGTTTCATCATATCTGGGGACACAGTTAGGTCATTATGTTGTTTTCTCCTCACAAACAAACCCGGAGTTGTGTTTTGTTTCATTCACACATGTTTAACACACAAACCCTGCGTGTTTAGTTCTTCTCTCAAACAGGAAACGCTCTTCCACCTTGTGATGTCATGTGGTAATACAGGGAGTGCTCCACTGTGTTTTTAAAAATCCAAACACCTTCACTATTTGGATGAGTTCAGTCCTGGAACTTGCAAACTATTGAACAAAATGCAAATGGTAGCAGTTAACCCTTCCAGACCGGACATGTTTCATATAACCGCGCATAAATTTTGAACAATAAGAGATAGAAACTTACTTTTTTTTCTTTGGAAAGTTGACCGTTTCGGCTTTCGGAGCATATTCCAGGCATTATCCTACGTCACATGCACGCTGTGTGATGATGTCAGGAAAACAAGTGCCCAATAGGAACTTTGTTTTCTTCCAAACTCATGCGCTCCATCCATTTTGATTGCCAAATTGATTTGCCAAAGAGTGTAGTGAGTCAAAATGGTCGATGCTCTGAGTGTTTGTGTTTGTAACAATTGAAAAAGCCGCTGTAAGTGCAGTCATTTCTCAGATAAATGGAAAATTACACATCTTGGTCTGCACATCACTTGCTATTTTTTATTTGAATGGTTTATTTCAGTCAGAATGTACACATCTAAATGTAATAAACACCATGGAAATACAGGAAGTGATTAGGATCTGTGTCCTGGACCTGACACCAGCTGTTTCCATGACTGGCACCAGAGAAAGTAAAGGGCCGATTGCACTTTTTTTGTTTTGTTTTGAGGGCTATAAGTATATTTTTACTTTTTTACAGACTTGATATTGTGCACTTTTATAGCTAAGGCCCCAAATTAAGCATTTTTAATGTCCAGAATGTTGTTTCTACATGTTTGCTGTGTGTTTTGTATGAAAGAGTGTGAATTTTATTTTCAGTTTTTTTGTTTTATCCTTTGTATATAATATGACACAGCTACAGCATACAGGTTGTAAAATAACAGGTTGTACTGAAAAAAAGGATGTGTAACACTTCATTAGAGGGTAAAAGGGGGAGTTTTAAACGCAAAATTAAGAAAGAAATTCATTCGAGGACAACTGTACCAAAATTGCCTTTAAATTGCATCACAAAGTGGAACATTTTGAGCATTTTGAGCTTTGGAGATGAAGACAGACTAATAAAAAAGGGTACTCAAACACGTGCGAATGAAACAAAACACAACTCCAGGTACGTTTTTGAGGTAACAACTTTCTAACATGACTCAAATCTCCCATGAGTCAATTTTGCGTAACGTTTATACCATCCTGCAGTATCTTCCTCACGTCCCCTATTGTCGCCGTGAAAGGGCACCAAGTTTTCCCCCGCCTCCATGTTCGGTGGGTTGGATCAAACACGTGTATCTTGTCTCTTTTCCGTCGCTAATGATTTGAAAATGCATATTAGAGCAATGTTTGTGCTGGCTCCCTAAAGAACGTATCCCACCCACGCATGCCCTCCCCGTCACCCTGCAGCGGATATGGATAAAACTGCTTACTATGGCTGCCAGGCTCTCGTCACATACAGCTTTGAAGATAGAGGAATTAGTATTGCATAGGGCGTATTAAGTTACCGTGGCGACATCGTTTAAGCTCCGTGTTCTGCTAAGTCAAAATGTTTAAAGCTTTTACTGGTAAACATACAGTACATGTAGGTGTGATTTGTGTCAGTGAAGGCAGTGCTGGAAGATTACGAAGTCACCTACAAGAACTAAAGTTCTGGAGGTATATGTGCGTTTTAAAGGTTGTATGGAGGATTTTTATTTAATTTTTTTTTGTTTGTTTCAAATTGTCAATGAAAGTTCAAAATAGCGTTAGAGATGCAGCAGCTTTGAAATTATGAAGACCAAAAAAAAAACAATGAAAATCCATCAACTGCGGACAGATAAACATCAGCCAGTAGATAAAGAGGCTGCCTCATTTTCTATTGGCTGTTGGGTTGTCAATCAAACTCCCTTCGTTTCTAGCGTAACTGTCCGGCGCGTGAGGATTACGTGGTTTATGCAGCGGTTCTTAGACTGTAGCTTCGTCGCAGTTCGCACAAAGTTTGTTGCGATGTCGGACGAGAATCCACGACCAGTTCGCTGCAAAACAAAGTCCGTTTTTGAGGTCGATGAAAGAAGAAGAGAAGAAGGAGAAAAGGAGCGAAGACAAACTGAGGTGATTCTTGGAGATTCCTTCCAGCGATGGCGCGACTGAAGCAGACGAAGAGTCTAAAAACTGACGCGTCGGTCGCTAAAATATTTCTAGACAGGTCACTTCAACAGTAATTCTGAACAAGGCTGTAAACAAACGTGATTTCTAGAGTAAAGTAGATGTTTCTACTGAGGGAGCTGTGGAGGAGGAAGGTGGTGTCACACATGCACAACACTTGAAAAAAGGACTGTCGCTGTATTTCACTTTCCTTAAAAAATTCCTCTATACAACCTTTAAGTTAGTACTTTTTACTTTTACGTCACTACATTTGAGAGCAGATATCTGTGCTTTCTACTGTTTTACATTTTTGAACAGGACTGAAAAGTAAAAACTGATTTACTTATGATTTTAGGGGTTATTTTGACTATGTTCATGGTAATATCCTGAGTAAAAGTTTAGTATGGCGTCCCATAAATACACATGTCCCATAATACACATGCACGATAAAATATGCATTAAGGTGTCTTGTATTATTTCACACGCGTAGATATTAACTGCGAGCAAGCAAATTATCTCTGCGCGAGGAGAAATCTGTGACCTGCGTGCAAAACAACCACTGGAGGGCAAGCTCTCTCGAAGCTGATTTCTGCTCGTGCGAGAGTCATTTCTGCTTCCTCCAAGTTGATTTCTGTTTGCTCATGTTTATTCTGTTTTCAAAATAAAACCAAAAATAAAAAAAAACTAAAACAAAACAAAAAATCTGTGTGTCATTCGTTCATTAGTTTTTCAAAATGAAACCAAAAATAAGAAAACGAAAAAGCAACTATTTTATATTATTTGTCTCCTAAACCAAAATGAAAAAAACAGATAATGATTCGTTTTTTTTTTCTGTTTTTGGTTTTGTGTTTAAATCAATAATGGAAAATAAAATAAATAAATAAATGGATAACGACCGTTTCCCGTTTCCGTGATTTAAACCAGGTCCAGAACTGAACCAGGACTAAACCATGATTAACTGGTCTCACTCCTGGTCTCAGTCCCAGTCTCAGTCACGGTCTGGTCCCGGTCTCAGTCCTGATCTTGTCCCGGTCTGGTCCCGGTCTCAGTCCTGGTCTCAGTTCTGGTCTCAGTCCCGGTCTCAGTCCTGGTCTGGTCCTGGTCTGGTCCCGGTTTCAGTCCTGATCTTGTCCCGGTCTAGTCCCGATCTAGTCCTGGTCTCAGTCCTGGTCCCGATCTCAGTCTTGGTCTAGTCCCAGTCTAGTCCTGGTCTCAGTCTTGGTCTCAGTCCTAGTCCTGGTCTGGTCCCAGTCTCAGTCCTGGTCTGGTTCCGATTCGCTGTTTAACACAGTGAAATACTAATACTGTTTACTCTTTAAGTAAATTTTTAAACGTGTACTTTAATACTTTTACTTCCGTTGTTTTGTTAGTGTGATACCCTTACTTTTACTTTTTGCCTCTGTATCTGTACTTCTATGTAAGTAACAAAACTGAGTACAGTTTTTACAGTGGTCCAGAATTAGTCCTCACTTACCTTACACATTCAGCACATCCTAATTATCCACCGCAGTGAGTTTATAAATGACATTTACACAGTAAAATATATAATAGATTTTATGTGTTGTTGTTTATATTATGTTAAAAGCAAATATTTTTTTCAGTTTGACTTCACCTAACATTTTCTTCTGATTCTGTCTCTTCTCGTTGCGCCTGTAGTCCCGGTGAACGGCCACGTGGATCAGCTGAAGACCAGCCTGACTCCGCCCCTTATCACCCACACCGCAGCCACGCCCATGCCCATCCCCAAACTCCCTGTGGGCGGAGACAGCATCCTGGGATACGAGTCGCGCCGAGGCAGCAGCGTGTCCATGGACCCGGCCTGCTACGACAAGTCACCAGTAAGTACTCAAATAATAAAATCCTGTATTACACCTTTTTCTGATTTATGTTAATAAGTAATGTTGTTCCTTCATCACAAAGGAGGAGGAGGTAAGAACATTATAACATGACTCACATCACATAAGTCAATTTAGCAAAATATATGATGTTTACAACAAAATATATTTATTCTAAACGTAAATTTCATCACAGGCAAATCAGCTACAACTACTAAAAACTTTCAAATAAAACATACGCTGTAAAGTTTTGTATAATATATCTTTAAATCAGGGTGACCAAACATCGTATTTATGTATTTACCCGGGACAGTCCCAGTTTTGAGCCTTCTGTCCATTGTCCCAGCAGATTTATCCAAAACCAGTGATTTGTCCCAGTTTTATACAAGAAATGTCCCAGGTGTCCCTATTTTGGACCAATTTGATCTTAACCAGGACTATATCAGGTCTAAACCAGGTCTAAACCAGGTTCAAACCAGGACTAAACCAGGACTAAACCAGGACTATATCAGGTCTATTTCAGGTCTAAACCTGATCTAAACCAGGTCTAAACTAGGGCTAAACTAGAGCTAAAATAGACCTATATCATGTCTAAACCAGGTCTACATCAGGTCTAAAATAGGGGCTAAAATAAAGCTATATCAGGTCTAAACCAGGTATAAACCAAGTGTAAAATAGGGCTAAAATAGAACTATATCAGGCCTAAACCAGGTCTGAACCAGGGCTAAAATAGATCTACGTCTATCAGGTTCAAACCAGGACTATATCAGGTCTATTTCATGTCTAAACCTGACCTAAACCAGGTCTAAACTAGGGCTAAACTAGGGCTAAAATAGACCTATATCAGGTCTAAACCATGTCTACATCAGGTCTAAAATAGGACTAAAATAAAGCTATATCAGGTCTAAACCAGGTCTTAACCAAGTGTAAAGTAGGGCTAAAACAGGAATATATCAGGTCTAAACCAGGTCTAAACGAGGTCTAAACCTGGTCTAAACTAGGGCTAAACCAGGACTACTTCAAGTCTAAACTAGAACTAAACCAGGACTAAACCAGAACTAAACCAGGACTAAACTAGGGCTAAACCAGGACTAAACCAGGTCTAACCTAGGGCTAAACCAGGACTAAACTTGGACTAAAATAGGACTATTTCAGTTTTAAACAAGAGGAACATTTGTTTAGCCCAAACCCAGCAGACTGTGCTTCTGTAGTTTGTCTCAGATTAAACACTGATCCACATGAGTCAAGAATGGACAAGGTTACACGCACTTTTATTTATACCAACCATCCCAACTCGGGTGTGTCCCAGTTACATTATTATTATTATTATTATTATTATTATTATTATTATTATTATTATTATTATTATTATTATTATTATTATTATTTTAAATCTGGTCACCCTACTTTAAATACAATACATCTTTGTGTAATAGGGTGGCTGCATTAGCATTAGCTTTTGCATTAGCATCAGCACAAAAATTTACATTAGCATCAGAACCAAAATAGACAACAGTATTTGTATTGGTAATTGGTATTGGCATTAGCATCGGCTCCTGCACCGGTATCGTCAATGTCATCACTATTGGCATTTCCATTAGCATTTTCAATACAATTAGCTTTTGTCTCGGAAAGAAGATCGACATTAGCATTAGCATTAACTTCAGTAATCAATCAATCAATCCAATAGCTTTATTTATCCCCCGGGTGCAGTTTAATTCGGTATTCATTGCTCGCCACACAACATTGTCAGTGACGTCAATCCAATTTATTTTTGTTTAGCTCAAAATCACGACCGCAGTGGCCTCGCAGGACTTCGCAAATTTGTTGTTTTAACCAACAGAAAGTTAGAAAACCAAACAGTGAATAGAAACAGTCACTGGTCAAAAACAGATGGAACAAATGGATGGAGAGCCCAGACAGAGCAGAGGGGTTTAGAGCGGAATCATCCAGGAGAGGGTGAGGGGCATCCAGAGTTGTCGAAATGGGCTGCCCCGTCAAAATAAGCTACTTTACGTTTTTCTGTTTACAGTTGTATATATATCTAATAAAGCCAAACCTTAACCTCCCCATTTTTAAAACATATTACTTTGGATCAGAGACAGTGGGTTTGATGCTGTTTGTACACGGTGATCACACTTTATACTTTAGTTAGGTCAAATTTCAACAAATTTATATGAATATACATATTTAATCTCAACAGTTGTATTATACTATAGTATAATGTATATATCTTATATCTAATAGGGTTCTGACTAAAGGGAGCACATATTGACAGGCCAATTTAAGTATCACCACTCACTGTAGAATCACCATTATTTACTCATTTACAGTGTCCCTCGTTTATCGCGGGGGTTAGGTTCTAAAAATAACCCACGATAGGTGAAATCCGAGAAGTAGTCAACTTTATATTTTACAATTATTATATCTGTTTTAAGGCTTAAAACCCTCAGCACACACTTTATACACTTTTTTTCACACAGGACAGTTACAACCCTTTTTGCATCCTTCTTAAAACTTATTGCTGCTGTCGTCCTTTTGTTATTTTCCTTTTTCTTTATATAACACACCGAAGATTAGTTTATTCTGTAATGGAGCCCTACAGCGCATTTTTGGAGACCCGCACCCGCGAGGTACAGCACCGCACCCGTGCAGTACAGCACCCGTGCAGTACAGCACCACACCCGCACAGTACAGCACTGCAGTACAGCACCACACGCACACAGTACAGCACCACACCTGCGCAGTACAGCAGCGCAGTACAACACCGCACCCGCGCAGTACAGCACCTGCGCAGTACAGCACCGCAGTACAACACTGCACACACGCAGTACAGCAGCGCAGTACAACACCGCACCCACGCAGTACAGCAGCGCAGTTCAGCAGCGCAGTACAGTAGCGCAGTACAGCAGCGCAGTACAGCAAGATTATATCAAACTTTTGCGCTGCATGCGCCACGGACTGAACCAAAACTAAACCAGGACTAACCTAGGACTGATTCCAGGATTGAAGAGGAGGATATCTTCTATCGAATAAGCCTCCCACTATATAAGACAAAACACTGAAATGACTGGAAACACTGAAATCTTTATATTATATCGTTAAATATTATATATTTAACGCTAATATCATAGGCTACTGTGTGAATTTCCTATTATAATATAGTGATATGTTATAATATAGTGATATATTATAATATAGTATATGTTTTATTTATACAGCACCTTTCTAAATGTTTTCTACACATGGAAACAAAATAAAATATGACGTAATGAAATCAAATCAAATATTAAATCCAAACTATCATCTAACGCAGGTATTCTGCCGCAAATCTAACAAACATATGTTGTTGCTTACCTAGTCAAAACATACAATAAAACCAATACACTTTTAAAATATTACTTGTTACACCACTTCTGCCTCGGAGCTCAAATCGATGGCATTTAAACTATAACAGCACTAGGGTGTCGTGCGCAATAGCTCAAATCGACAGAACACCAGCACGACATCGCCTGAAGAAGAAACATTTCACGGCCCTCTCCACCACAACTATAAATAGTATAATTTGTGTTCACAAAGTGGGATAATTGTTGGTAATTTTCAGCACGTTTTCGCTGAAAAAACTCAAGCGGCGTATCAGCGTGACTGGGGTGTAATGTCTTTAAGTAACACCTTTATTTGGCTTTATTTGGCTTCATGCTGTCTGCTGACAACATTTTTAGACAAAGTAAACACACCGGTCTTCCTTCGTTTCTCACCGTAGTCACAGTGAAGTCGAGCGCTACATATATGTACACTTCATTATATTTCCTCGTCTTAGCTTTTGGGAGACTGATGTTTGTTTCTCCATTTGTCTTTTCATCCCTATTAAATATTTTTGGAGTGTGGAGTGGAGCCAAACTGGTTTTTACCTGTTAAAATGATCCTTTTATACTTTTTGTATGTCCTCAACTCTACGTGAATACTCAGTAAAGAGTTTTTAACTGTACTTGGATCACTCTCTGTGGATTTATTTATCTTTTTTGGGCTAAAAATGTACTGTTATGTTACATACTAATCGCCACATTCCTAATAGGAAGTGAGCATGAAATTACTGAATATTCCTCATATGGAAATCAGCTCCAAATTCATTTATGTAACTGCAGCCTCGATGAGCTTCATTTGACTGGAGATGAACGCTACGGCGACGTCATGCTCCCTTAATCCACTTCTTTATACAGCTGATGCTTAAAACTAGTGATGGGCGAATGGAGCCTCGTGAAGCATTGACACCTCAGTCGCAATATTGTCTCAAATGGTTGGACGTGTCTGAGGCCTTGGAGAAACCAAGAAACCTGACCTCTAGTGGACAAATTTAACCATTGGCACTCAGGTGTCTCAGCATCGATGAAGTATTGTTAGTGTAAGACAATACTTGTGTGCAAAGCGACACCGTACCAACAACAATAATAATAATGAAGATTTAAAATAATATGTAAACAGCAACATAAATAGCTGCTGTAAATAAGAAAATAGGTGTTACCTTGTTAGGTGGAATTAGATCAAAGTGATCCCAAACCATGGATCACTTTTTTCCACTTGTGGATACCATCGAAAATGAAACAAATGCCAAAAGTCACCAAAATCATTACTAACGTCACACAATACTCCTCACTACCCAACATTTTTAAGAAATATTGGTGCATCTTTTATACTGTAGCAGTTTAGCGCTTGTCAAACCACGGAAGTGCGCTGAACACTCTGAAACACTCTGAACTAGGGATGGGCATGATTAGTCGATCAATCGATAATTGATCATTAAGAATTTCATCGATTACGTTCATTACATTTTAATCGACAAACCGAATGTAGGTTGCTGTGCGTTGCGTGACCAAACAGGTCTGTACATGTGTCTCTCTGCAGTCAGAAGGAGCGAGACACAAACAGTGGGTCAGCCTGCAACGTGCCGAAGCGCAAATGCGTATTTAACGATGACTTGTACAAGAAATCCCACGCTTTCCGTT